CTTGTGCCGTTCAATCTAAACATTCCACAACAACAACGGATCGACTCATCCGACGTTTATATGATGAATTATGAATTCTAAAAACTAACTTCTCATTTGGAAATGAAGCTTATTTTGCGACAAACTTCTCAGTCAGTGCTTTCAAGAGGAATATGGCAAACTCCCTATCAATCAGTCTCGAAATGGCAAGATAAATGATTGAAATGACGAAGATTTATGAATGTGGTGAATTCAATGCAACATTGTAAGTACAACAAAACGCAGAAGGCATTTTACGAAGACTTTGCTCTCGAGTTTGAATTCTGGAGGAGATCATTTCCAAAAAATCGGCAGTTCAACGTGAATGTTTTCATGATATTATCTAATGAGGTAGCTGATAGATTTGAATTCAATTGCATACAATGGATACACTCTGAAATATAAATTGTTCTGTGGCAAAAGTTCTGCATATCAAGAATCCATGAAGTTTTAGGCTGCTGGATAATTTTTGCAGTCATTTTCCAATTGTCAACAGCATTCAGAAGAGTTTTTGGTTGTGTAAAAATGACTTGACTTGATTCTAAGTTGATTTTACGATTCCCACACAGAACTGGTTGTAAGTTGAATGAATATAAGCTGAATCGTCGTTATTCGTGTGAATTCTCATGATATCGCATAGAAAACGCGCGATTCGATTGGTATTTTTACACATTCACTCTTATAATTGTTTTGTACCCTTTGATAAGGATTGTTGTTTTTAAGCTGCTTTCATTGACTTCCAAATTTAATCCGTTAGCTTGCATGAGCAATTTGAATGATGCGACAACTGAACTGATTGAGTATTTACGTATCAATTTGACGTCATCTGCAATCCGCTTCCTCTTGTTATTCCCATCACTGCGGGTGCTGCTGCTGCTGCTGCTGCTGCTGCTGATTAATCCTTTGCAAATGTTATCTCGTGTCATGCTCATTTGAAGAATGCGAATTGTTTTGCAAAATAACTCATGCATTCATTTACTTCCTATCAACAGTTTAAAATCCTTCGCATACGTTTTCGCTTAACTACTCTTTTAAANAAACGAACGTCTCGCTTGAGTTTCTTTTTTTTTTCAACGAAGCATAACAAATGATTAACTTGACAAAACGCATAGACATGTAGCTCGTTCGGTCTATTGATTTTCTCATGTATTCTCTCGAAAAACCTCAAAATAAGCACTGAAGTGTCTGTTGACTTAAAAAGCATATGAACATGCATTTTCATATTTCGCAACCTACAAACCAATCAAAATTGTACATTTCGTTTGCTTTGTAATGAGAACGGAGGCATGAAAGGAAAAACATATCCATCTAATCGCATACTTCCAAATGTTTCCAAATAATGACTGGTAATCGTTCGAATATGTCTGTTCAGGGTAATATATTATAGGAAAATAAGATGAATGCGTCTATCCACACGATATTTTGTGTAAAAAGACAGCTGAATGTACTTTCAGCCGAAGTGACAACTCCTTCCACACTAATAACAAATGACTTGGCGATGGCGATAATTCATCAGACCTTCAAAACTGATAGTGCCGTCAGTATGACTAACGGAAGGTTTTGTTTCATTTGGGTGACTCTTGCTCGAATCGATGATGGTAAACAACATAGGGTCTNTTCAGGACCAAACGCAGTTCACAGGGGTTAGAATCCGCTTGAAATTGTCGAAAAATGAACCGTTTGCTTGTATTTTGTTTTCCGTTCCCAGAAAAATTTGTTTGACCATCATCCGAGATCAAAACGAGCATCGAATGTGGTGGATCGATAAAGCCAAAATGTTTAGGCGTTTCAAGATGTTTAAGAGTTGTGAGGAGCTCATGAAATGGTTATGATCAAGGCGTAATCATGCAAATAAGTTGCATCCACCCCGGAGAACCTGACTTATCATTAATCGTTGATGAACTGAAAAAAAAACGTGAAGAGATTCGAGTTGAGGAATCGAAGAAACGAGAAACGAAACTAACGGTGAGCCATATGCTGGTTGAATGGAAGATAACGGAGGCATGTGCATGAAAGAGCGTGAAGGCAGCCCATGCGTAGCTGTAATCACGTTGTTCACAACGATCCGCAGCCTCAATCAAAAAATGCCAAATGAAGACCAGATATGAAGTCATAACGACCACATCGCATATGGCCACTGAACACAGCAAAACATTCACCGGTGAGATCATCGTTGGCCTTGTCAGCACTAATATAGTGACCATATTCATGACGGTTCCTGAACAACGCTTGTGAATTGTATTAGAAACAACTTTTGAACATCATTAGCTACTCAAGATATTCTCATGCTTGTGTACATTTAATTTGCATATCCCACTTGATGTTGCGAAAACATTGCAATCTTCCATGATGAAACAGGAGT